ATTGCTGTGGCCTCAGAGCATGTCTGTGGGTTGAGATGGGCAAAGCAAACCACGGTGAGCTTTAGAAACACACAAAATGTGAATGGGCCCATGACCCCTTGACTCTGCTTACCAGCAGACAAATACAAGTTACAGAGAGACATTTATACACCTCTGTGGGTACAGTCAGTAGCCATCAACCCACACCTTTCATGCACAAGGGCCAGACATACAGAAGCTGCTCAGTGTTGCTCCTCATCGCTGCCCCTTCAGGCTGGGGCTGCGGAGGGAGGTGCTGCGGGAGGCAGCTTTCACTTCTGCCTGCACCCATCACCCCCTTCCTCAGCCTGCCAGATGGGGTTTGGTTGCAAGACTGCCTGGAAACAAAATGACTCCACAGCATAGGCCTTTTGGGCAAGAAGTTGTGAAGACGTATAACTAGACCTGAGAGTTAAAAAGAAACCAAACCAACCAACCAAACACAAAAACACCAACACAATACCAAGGTCCACAAGAAGAATTCTACAGATTCTCTATTTAGATCAACTAAGCCAATACAAATCAGTCTCCATATACTTCATGAGGGAATCCCACTGCACTAAACAATAAATTAAATTTCTAGGGCAAACAAATGAACGTACAACTAATTTCAAATTTGAAGAGAAGCAGGATACCAGTTTTTCTTAGAGGACAAAAACTTTTCATAATTCAACAATGGTGAATTCAACAACTATATTCTCATCTCTGCGTACTGCAATTGGCACCTACAGAAAAACTGTGCTTATGCTTTCTAGAATCCTTATTCAGTCCCCATATTTTGGCATGCTCAAAGCAAAGCATCTTCCTGCACACAGTGGAATGTGCATGTAGGAGAAGATCTGCATGAGCAAAACTGAGTGTAGATTTTGATTTGTTGAATTAGAGCTATACCATGACAGTATCAATAGAAAAATAACATTTGTATATCTTATTCATTATAAAGTACATTTCATAGTACAGCTAAATATTTAAAAAGCTCTATTTTAGTCAGCAGCAGTAGTCAATATTGTATCATGAAATTTAATCTCCTGAAATCAAAGAGAAGTAAATCACATTTTAATTACTGAATGTATCATCAATCTGTTTGGCCAAAGTTAATTAATTTTTATGGTGATGAGAGTATTTTTATTGCATGAACTGGAACTATTTTAATTAAAGAAACTGTAGATGTTGTGAGTTGCATGACAATTGCTAGGATTGCTACTTTTGTTTGAAAACAGAATTCACAAGGCTGAGACTGGAATCAAGCAGCTTGTACCAGTTGCGCTGTAGTTTCATAAAGTATACAAAGATATCCATGTCTGAGTAGTATAGTTAAAATTATAATTAGATAACTATTTTTTTCTGTCTACTACATACCTAAAGAAAAAAAGGAAGGATAATTATACCCTTGTAATCCAGAGTATGGATATCTACATTAAATGTAAAGAAAAAAATAAAATTGAAAACAATTGAACTGAAAAGCAAAATGCCTTCAGTGCCAATATCAAAGCAGTAATAAGTACTTCACCTTCAATTTTTATAAATCTCAATAGGAATGGCTTGTCCAGTTATGAACAGTGCGTATTTTGCCAATTTTACAAGCTAATTTAAAAATGGGTACACTTAACAGCTTACCTCTCAGTTACCTTGAGACTGTTGCTGACATCTTACAGGTTGAGGCAAGTGTTTTGTTCTTAGCACATTCTCAAACATTAAATTCTTATTCTGACAATCTAGTGCTTGTTTTTATTGTGGTGCATTTTTGGTCACCACATTATTTTCTAAGAAAATACTTCCAGTTTAATAAACAATTCAGCTCATTCTGTTATACTTATTATTATTAATTTAGCCCTGAAATAAAGGATGTATTCCCTAATTTATGCTGAAAAAAAGAATATCCTACACATAATAAGTGGTGTTAATTAACTTCTGAATTATATCTCTGTGCAGAATGTCTTCAAGCAAAAGCATGCAGTAGAGGCAATTAGATTAGATACAGGCTTGAATCATTGTGAACTCTACGATGAAAGTCTTGATTTTGTTATGGAAATGGGAATAAGAACAAAAGAGAGCCCAGTATCTGATTTACCAACACACATTGCAGACCCCTGGCACATCTCTTTCTAGTTAACATGCTAGTTCCACTGAAGTCCAAGGCACAAAAAAGTATTTAACACCATCCTACTTCCATTGCACTTGCCATACACAAAAAGGCAGAACAAGAAAAGATGAGACTTTCCTCCCTCAAGAAGCAGTACTTTTAACTTTTTTCTGTATGCCACCATAACAGAAAACCAGCTAGGCATGCAGCCTTTCACTTGTTTACATGAATAGTATACATGATGTTCTATTTTACCAGTCACAACCCTGACTTTTAGAATTAAGATGAATTATATCATTAAAAGTCTACTCATTATGATGACACAAATATTCTTGACTGCTTAAATGACTAATGACCTCTTCTCTGTTGGTTGCATATTAGGGACAAATTCCTATGTGTTATTAATTTCCAGCAATTAGGGCCAGGGTCTATTTTTAGTGTTATAAATAGATTTGCTAAGATTAGATTCAAATTATTTGAGTATTATGCAAGCAAAAGCCTTCTTTGACAATGTATTTACAACAAGCTACTGTAGGATTGTCTTCCAAAATAAAAGCTAGACGCATTTTTCATACTAAACTATTGAACTGTGGCCCCACCGTCTGCTGAAATTGCTCTTCAGAGAATACTGACATTGTATTGTTGGTATCCCATTCCCATCACCCCCTCTGGCAGACATCAATATTCAATATATTTATTTGAGAAGAAAGCTTATCCTGTGTTAATAGGAGATCCATCCCTCACACATTAAATTAGTCTGCAAAAATGTAATTACTATATTCACAATTGGAAAAAAAAAAAAAAAAAAAAAAAGGAAAAAAGAAAAAAAGAAAAAAGAAGCTTTCAACTCCTTTTTCTTCCCTCTACAGGATCCTTGAGATGGAGATCAGGACAGCACAGAAAACATACACTCCTGTGAATAAAAACTGCAGGATGACTATAGGTATAGAGAGGAGCTGTAATTTAAGAAGCAGCAGACATACCTCTGCACCAGCAGCTTGGTAGCCTCTTGTTCTAGTGAGCCTCCCTTCGTACTTCAGCACGATCTCCTTTGCCTGTCTGCACAAGAAGGTGGAATCATGTTTTACATCAATGCCGTTACTCTGAACCCCTAGCTCTTCACAGGCAGCAACTAGCAAAATGCTCTGAAACACTGTCATGGACTATGTCACACTACAAAATCCTTAACCAGGCAAAGCTTTTTTTTTTTTCTTTATCTACTGAGGTTTTTACTACCACTTTAAAACCACTGAGAGCTTTTTCTGAGAAAACTTGACATTAAGAACTTTTACTGCAGGGAGAGTTCTCTCCCTCTCTCTCTTTTTTTTTCTTTTTTTTTTTTTGTGTGTGTGTGTGTGTTTTTCCCCCGTGTCCTTCTAATTCAAATCTTTCTTAAAGCAGCACACCCAAAATGACTAAAATAAGACGACTGTCCTGATGGCATGTTTAATTTTATGTGGATACATAAGAATATAGTATAGAGCTGTTTCAAGATGCAAAGAGATTCATATACGATCCTAATGCTGCTCGCTCATCCTCTATCTTTAACTTCAGGAGAAAGTGGATGAGGACCTACAGGAAAGTCATCAACACAGAAGTCATGTAGGAGCAGGGAGACATCAAGTCACTACTCTGTGTAACAGAGAAAAATCACTTTGTTTCCAAAATTAAGCAAGGATCCTATTGCTGCTGGGACTTCCTCAGCACTACAATGCCATCCTCGCATCAGACAGTGTTTTATGAGAAAGAGGCTTGATGAAGAGGAAAAAAAGCAAGTCCCAAACAGACCATACTGTGAAAGACCTGACACAGTTTAACTGAAAGAGTTGGACACCTACCCTTTGCATTGCAAATATGGCAGTGTTAATATAACTATTGAAACTATAACTATAGCTGTGAAACATCATGACCACCCCAAATGTGCCTACCAGCACGCATTACTTACCACCATTTACAATATATTACCTGAAGATTACAACCAGGTCTCATCAGACCATACTCACACTGTGCTTTCCTAGCTGCTCTTAATCATTTCTGGGCTTGTTCCCTTTCAGCTTACGCTGGAAAACTGCAGCTGGAAATACGGTCACAGTCAGTAAGCCTGAGAGCTTCTGTGCAAACACCGTTACCTGAGCTGCCCGCAGCTTCTGCCTCATCGGCCACGGCCTGCAGCGGATGTTGGACATGATCTCCTTCTGGTACTGGATGTTCTGGAAGATCTGCTCGGGGTCATGGTTGTCAGCCTTATCCTCGCTGATATCCTCATCTGAGTTGCTGATGGTCCAGCACACACCCCACGAGAGAAAAAACAAGACAAATTATTACCCTCCAGCTCCCCAAACTGTTGATTTGTACAGTCCTCAATCTATGAGAGTTACATGACAGCAATAAGCTAGGGAATATGCACGACCTTGTTTTTAGAGTTGATGAAAAATTAGGATTGTTTCCCCAACTCTAGGACATGCCTTTTCCTCCCCACCACCTGCTACTCAGCCATAACTCATCCATGCTCCCAGCAGGAATTCCAGTCTTTGCTTTCCCAGCCTTTCCAGCCATGCACCTTTTACATCAGGCTAGCAAGACATTCTGTATATTTTTCTGGAACAAAGTGCTGTCTAAACATTTCCAGCAAGAGCACTTAACATTCATTTGCTTGCCTTGCAGTGTTGGCCTTTTACTTTGATGGTAATAATGAAGAAGTTTTTCTTTGTTAAAATGAGGGGAATAAATGCTAAGAAATTCTTGCCCTTTGCTCCTGTTCCCTGCTGGGAGGACAGGAGCATAAGACCCCAGCACACCAAGAATTACATATTCCTGTAAAAAAAAAAATTATGTGTTCCGATGCAGATTTCTGTAAATGCTTATTAAATCATCTTTTCTGATGCTGTCACCACATTTGCTAAGCTACAGCTCTCTCATCTCATTTTAAACAGGCTACTGTAAGTGACACCAGCAATATTCACTCTTGCAGGGACTCACAGCTAAAAACCTGTTGCTACAATTTCCCCTTGCATGATATGAACAGAACTGAACACTTTTGAATCACTTTGAAATAAATCAACCTAAACCTTTTCTTCTAACAGCATCCAAAGGATATACTCAGTCAGATTGCTGGTCCATTGATCCACAGTCCCCACTCTGACCTTTGGTCACAGTGGATATTCAAGGGAAATTATAATACACAGGAAAAGTATAGAGAGATTTATTACCCTGATATGCCCTGAATTCACTGGAGTTATGCTGAAGATGTTTATGATGCAGTATGAAACATTACTTTTATGAGAAGAAAAAGAGAAGAAAAGAGGTTTAAAGTACATCTAAAAATAGAGAGAGGAGTGTTTTTTCTCATACTCCTTTTAACATTACTACACTCTGACGAAATGAAAGGCAAAAGACAAGACCCCACATTTCTGCCCAATAAGGAATATTTGCACTTCAGAAGAGAGCAGGATGCCTTACCTGTGGGGTGGCTCCTGGTAGGTGTAGATGCTGGCATGCCGCTTCACTGTCTGGTACTTTTTGCAGGACTTTGCAGTTTTTACTGCAGCAGCACCTGGAGCTGCTGCCATGGTGGGAGCTGCTGCCAGCACCAGGTGAAACTCTGCCACGCTAGAAGAAAGCCTTCAGCTCACCGGGCAGCTGTCTGCTAAGCAGGCAAACGTTATTAAGTAAAGAGCAGCGAGAGAGTGCCGAGCCCTGATCAGAGGATTGCTGCCTGCGCCTGGTGCTCCTGCAGTGGCAGGACCTGAAGCCTGGCAGTGCTGTGCATGCCTTAAAGCGGCAGCACACAGCAGCCAGGGTGCTGTCAAGTGAAATTCCTAGGAGCTGGGTAGGGAACAGAATCCAAGGGTGGGCCAGCTGCAGTCCTTAAAGCATCACTTTTTCATGGATGAGGTGATCCCTCAAAGTGCCACCCCACCAAACCAGGCTGGATCACGCTGGGTGACTGTTTGCAATGACCGCACTGGAATGACTGTCATCATTGCTTCATGTGTCTGAGAGACCATTCGTGCCCATGTAAAGCAAGAATTGTTTGCATTTTAGGTCTTTGCTAACAGACAAGTGTGAATGCATTTTCCCACAGGACTAGCAGGCCCTTTCCCAGGGGACAGCCCTGGCACAACACAAGAGCTGCTGATCTCCTGGGTCCCAGCCCCACCTCAGAGCATGACCTGTACTCACTGGCCCCCGATGTATGACCTCTCTTTTGGAGGCATCAAAATACCTGCCATTCAGACAAGTACATGTTACCCAGCAGTTCACTCTTTCTCAAAAATTGTAGTATCTTAATTACTTTTCAATTCCATTAAGTACTGTAACTTTTTCACCATTTACTTTAAGCATCTTCTCAGATTATAGATATTAATAATTATTCCTAGAGTTTAACACAGGAAAATATTGCCATCTGATGTTCATTTCCCATTTCTTCAGCACTACTACTTAACTAATTTTATTACAAAATTAATTTCCTAGATACTAAATGCACAGCTAACACAAACTCACTTTAAAAGTCAGCAAATGGATTAGTGGTGGCAGCTTAAGGACCTGTATTAAATAACTACTTATCTTTCTCTCATTTTATTGAAGTCTTGGGGCAAGGTCTTGCATTTTTATGCCTCACTTCCTAACAATAAATACAGAGTATTTCTTCATTTCACAGGAATATCATGCAATTTATCACAAATTTTGAGGTACTCTGTGTCTATCATATGATGATTATGTATTATTCACAGTAATATACTTCATTAACAGCCATTGTGGGCATAAACTTCCTGAAGTTCCTATAGACAGCTCCAACACCACCTCTCCATGGTACTGGTATTGGATCGTCAGGACAGAATAGACTGCTCCAAGTTTTGTTGGGACCAGCAACTTGTCACATCATCAAGTGAATTGCCAGGGCCTTTCTCCATCATAAAAGTTGCAGGTATTTTAGGTCACATTATTAAAACAGAGCAAAACAGGCCAAAAAAAACCACTCTTGTTATTAGATTCTATTGACATAATTTGTTGCTCAGAACCTTGCGAGGAAAGGGATGAGTTTACAGAGAGTTTTCTCTTGTTCCTAACTTGGTATTTCTTTCTGTAATAGCTCTGTGCACAATGTGGCAAAGGTTTCAGTTGCATAAATCAATGGTCTGTTGTAGTTAACTTTTATTTGCAGCCTCTGACAAGAAAGAACATTAAGTTCTCTCTGCTACATTTCCTGTAGAGAAGCGCACAGACTGCTTTTCCCCTTTGCCCTGAGCTAATCAAAAATACTGCCACTAGCTGAGAAATCCTACTTTTCCATTATTGTGGTTCAGTCCATTGTACTATACTTATTTAGCTAAATAATTAAGGGACTAAGAAGTCACAAGCCTCATTACCATGCAAGTATCTCTCAGACCATAAGTAGTGAGGCTTGTGAAGTCCAGAGCTCCAGGTGTATCTTGTTTGAAGCCTCCCAGAAATCAGGGATTTCCATTAGCACAAAGGAGAAGAGCCTCAGAATAGCTCCAGAAATGCCCCACCCAGAGCTCAGTGAAATCAGGCACCTGTATTCTGCACCACCCCTTTAATTTCTCCTTTTGTCACATGTGCATGGCATCTAAACAGAGTAAAAACATTGGTGGAAACCACTTAGCCATGTTCTATTTACTCTGTAGATTTTTCTCTGAACTCAACTCACTCATCCCAATCAAATTCTAAGCATCTTCTGTACACACCTCCTTCAGCCGCAATAGAGACTAAAGGGTGTATGCTCCAGTATTCAACTTCCCCAGAAGGATGGAGCATAATAATTCTAAGTTTTCTATGCTGTAGTTTATTTTTTTCATAGTGAATTCTGTAAAACAAAGGTTGTTAGATCTCCGACATATCAAGCTACCTGTGCCTTACCTAAATTCACCATCCTTGGAATGGCTTTGTTGTTTGGCTTTAAGTACATAGGACAGACGTGCCCTAACATCCTCTCTGTGCGTCAGACCATCCATCAAGTGAAAGCACGCAGCCAAAAGGAACATGTTTCAGCCCAGAATCATGTCTCCATTAAAAGACTTATCACCACTTTCCAGCTGGAAAAACAAACAGAGGAACTATTCTGGATGCCAGAAAAGTCTTTTAAAGCTTTGATGTGCAGTCAGTACTGCAAACACGCCCACATCACCACTTTTGAGACCTGCTGCAAGATACACTTTCAATTTTATAATCTGAAAGCAATGAAACGTCAGTTCAAATATATTTTCTGGGTTGTAGTTAGTTATTTGCCTTTGCATTTTGGCCAGTGGTACATCAATGGGGACCAGATTCTGCCACTTTGCTCAGGAGTATAAATGCCTCTCTACTCAGGACAGCCTACTAAAATCCATTAGTTGGCTACTTATTCCAGCTATGTTTAGTCATTGCTCTCCTTTATCAAATTCAAATGTTTTACGTATACACATCATTTCAAACAATGCAGCAACCTAGCATCTACACGGTTCTTTCTGGCACAGCAGCTTTGTGTCCAGGTAACAAGCCCATTCCATCAGCACTGATTGACTGTTAACATGCTTTTATTTTTTTTTATTGACTAGTGCCAGTTGGTTAATGCTGAAGATCTCTGCGTAACACATTATCAAGGTAAAAACATGCCCTATGAAACTCAGTGCACCTGACACTTATTGCACTTATTATTAACTTATTATTATTTATATTTAATAAACCAAAATATAGACCTTAAATTGAAGGCTTCAAGCTAATACGGTTTTGTTTAGGTTTCACCATCTTGAAGTACCTGACTCCTGGTGGCATCTTTACAGTAAGATACCTTGCTGCTGTGCTGGTCCTAACGGCCAGGATATCCAGCTTTAGTTCTTCATTTTGTGGTTTGTCTGCACCACAAACTCCAACAGAAGCAGAATAATCTGAGAAAGAGCCCTGAGTAATGTGACAAACATGTAGAAACATTGAACTCGTGTTACTGATAGAGGTCTTACTAAGGAAAATTTCCTCCCCCACGAAAAATAGGTTTTAACACTAACATCCCAAATCCCTCAGAGAACACGATCTAGACCTCCAAAAACAACAGGAGAAAAACCTGTCCACTTCTCCCTCTGTATTACAGCTCCTATTTCCCACCTCTTGCTTGGCTTCCAGATACACCAGTTTTTAGTTGAAGAAACCACACTGGAGATTAAAACTTCACATCAATGGCAGTTCCCAGGGATTGCTACATTTCACAGATAAAGCAGTGTCCTATCATGCGATGGTGATACAGCACTACCAAAGACATTAAAACTGCTAACATTAATGATTTACATAGATTTAATTAGCTTGTATATCTTAACACATCAACAGGGAATATATTAATTTCCTTTCCCTTTGATAGAAGAAAGCCCAAAGTATTAAAACAAGGGGACAATTTAAACCTGACATTTATATGGCTCTAATACTGCCAGCGCTGGCATCACAAACTGCAATCTGAAGTTACTACCAAACACTAAAAGCACAACGAGCAGCCAGAGACTCATGAATTCAGAGCTCATCTGACAGGAGGATGCAGAGTGCTTTTTAAGAGAAAACAGTAAACTGGCTTCAAGAGCTTATCCCTGAAGTTGGAGGCATCCTCCACTTCCCATGACCCTTACAACAGCCTCTCTAAAGAACTCTAGGATTCACTCAGATCACAGACAGGGTTCAGGGTTGGCTGTTGAACTCCACAAGCAGTTTAGCAGCCAGAACAACACAGCAGCCTGCTTCAATACGCTCTATTGAATCCAGAAATGTACGGGGGTTGTTTTACTGTGAATGAATACTACAATAGTTATAGATTTGATTTCAATTGTCATTAAGTGGATGTAAAACAGGACGTTAACCTTTTACTGCAAAACGTGTAGTGGCATCTTTCTGAGCGTAAAAGTCTCACATTTGATGCATAGGGTCATGTTGCATTTTCAAATACTCAGCTAGGGAAAAAAAACAACACCAGTGGGTGGACTCTGCACATAGAAAAATCGAAGCAAACAGCAGGCTGTCCTCCCCATGCTTGCCCATTCCTGTGGAGATTCAGTTTAAATCTCCCCTTTCTTTCAGCATTGCAGTTAAACTTGGACCTTTCTAAAATGTTCTTACATGGGAAGGGGACATTCCATTTCTAAGGTGAAAGTTCAGAAAAGACTGATGTTTTCAGCGATGCCTGGAAAAGAAAAAAAAAAGAAAAAAAAGAAAAAAGTACCATCCCTCCAAGATGCTGAAGTATATAAAACAGATGGGGAAAAAATTATTTGGAAACACCGAAGAAGGAAACTTTTGCACCTTTAAGAGAGCTAATTATCAGTAATGCTAAAAATATTCAACTCTGTAGAAAACAGTGATAGGTAATGATGCTGTTCCACATTCAGGTTTGTGGGAAAGCACAAACTCCTCTTAGTTTGAGAACATTTACTTTTAGAGCTAGAAGAACTATGATCAGAAGACAAGCCAGTTGGATTTCAAAGAAATACGTTCCATTCTCAAATTATAATCTCAGTTCACCTGTTCAGGCCCCAAGGATATTAGAGATGCACAGCTGGATAAAAAAGCAGATATGGGATTTCCTGGGTAATGTTGTCAAAGCCATTGCCTTCATGAACTGAGAGTAAAATTCATCTGCTGGACTCTGTTAAATCACCGTCTTCCCATGAGTTTGTTTGGACAGCTTAATTTCATACAGAAGGTTTCACTCTTCAATTTCTGCGTGCTCATAACTCTTACTGACATTTATCAGACTTGGATCAAGGGGAATACTCCCATCGCAGTTCAATTTTCTCATGAATTCACGTCCCACATAAAAAATCTTTCATTTAAAAAGCTCCTTATGTAGTTAACTGATCTTACATCACCATAATAGGTCTATTTTTATTCATTAGATGATTACCATGACTATTAAAATATACATTTCTGTGACAGTACAATCCACAACAGAATACATCAAATTCAGAAAACTGTCAAGAGCAAAATCAGGGTAATGCTTACACAAGCATTTTAAAGCCTAATGCTAAGACAGTGGCAAAAGACAAAGGGAGCCACAAGCAGAGCCAAGCACCCATGGTGGGGCAGACCATGTCCCACCAGCTTTTACAGCCAATGCAACCAAAGTACAAGGCCTGCAGCACTGCCCTGACATGTGTGACACTCCCTCTAACTTGCAGCTTTCTACTTTCAAGCAGCAAGAAAGTAACTGGACACCTAGATAAACTTACTTTTCAATTGCAATAGGCTGTAGCTACTACTTCTACAAGGGAATCTGTGTTTTGTGCAGCTTTGTCTATCCAGCAGTATGATGTGCATCCTACAGACATACTCATTTCACCAGAGACCTTTCTGAAAGCACTGTAACTAAATTATTTTCCAGGCTTACGTGAGTCATTGCAAGCCAGACCTAGGAGTCACTGAAAATGCAGAAGACAATTTTATAACATTAAAAGAGAAAAGAGAGAGGGGAGAGAGAGAGAGAGAATTCTCACATTTTAGGAAAAAAAAAAAAAAAAAAAAAAAGAGGAAAAGAAGATCAAGGAATTTCACAATGACAAAAAGTAACCAAGTAATCAGAATCCCCCTCCCTCCTCCCCCCCCCCATTTTTTTTATATATATATATTTTTTGGATGAGATTAAAACCTTTGCACAATTGCTTCTAATAGTCTTTGGGGAACTTATTTGTCCATTAGAAAGTCTCATTTTGGCTCAGGATGAGGTCATGAAGAGCTGTCAATGTTTTGAAAAACAGAATGGTTGTTTCAAGTTGGTTTTCATTGTCCTCCAAACATTAGAACACAGTTCTGCACCATTTCTAATACTCACTAAAAACACAACTTTAGTTTTGCAATGTTTTGAAATGCATGGGATGAAGTTCTTATCTAAGGAGAATTGAAACAGTGTAGTCAGCATTTTTTTCCAGCAAAGCAAGGACTTCTGTGCCCCAACAGACAAGCCTCTGAACTTCCTTTTGACCTCTCTGAGATCACAATTCATGAAAAATGGGAACACAAAATCCAGATCTACTTAATTTACTGCATAAGGAATGTTATTTATTCTACTATTGTATGGCATAGGAAGACACTTCAGATACACTACAGTCATCTCATCAGCAAATTATCATCTTTTGTCCAAGGAAAAATCCCAAGCACAGCTATTAAAAGTATTGTCTGCAAAGACACAAGCTTGTTCCACTTGTTTTCCAGGATATCCCAACAACACAATTACTCAGAAAAGCCAGGTCCATCAGCCTGCAGTTACGTGATCATCTGAATTCAGCACTTCTTCACAGTACTTTCGGCTATCCCATCCCAGAGTAGGTTTTAGCAGCTCAGTTCTTTGATTCAGCTGCCATTCAGCAGCATAATACCTACTGCAACTGCAGGAGAGGTGGAGGAAATGAACCAAGGAGGATACATCGAGTTGGGTAGGCTCATCCCTTTAAACAGTTGTACGGAGGTATGTCAAAAGAATGGTGTAAGTACCCAAGAATTTTTAAGGCCCACAAAATCCACTTGCACTAGTTCTTTCACAGTTTGTGCCTCTCTTGTTGAATATTACCTTAAAACCTCTGGATAGTCCCTCCCTCCTTCCTCTCTTGGAAATGTACCCAATTTGCCGCTTCAGGTTGTATTCTCATTTCCTTATTCAGTCCCAAACTCCTTTAGCCAGCACAAACTTTCTTTCTTTAGACCAAGGATGCAGAGCAAATGAAATCCAGCTTTCAGCCACCAACGTGCTCATTGGAAGTGGTCTTGTGGCCCATTTCTGTTTCTTAGCACATGAAGCACACAGTAAAAATACAATGAAAGACAGTCAAGCATATACAGAGTTTGCAATATTAAATTAGGATTCAAAAGCTCTACCTAGACAAAATCCACAAACCATCAGAGTCAACCATGCATGATGAAGACATATAATATCCTTTGCCTAGAAAACAAATCGAGCTGACTGTCTCTAGGTGTAATTTTGACCAGGCTCATGATTAGAGAAACTGGTAGCATAATGATTTAGTTAGAAGAGTTTTCTAAGGGAAAAAAACATATTTGACATTACAAAACACATGAAACATTAAAAAGCACATTAAATATATATAGTATATATTTAATATACATAAATATATATAAATGAACGTAAATATATTTATATGTATATATATATATAAAATATATGTAAGAAATATAAATATATCTAGCACCATCAAGAAACTGCCAAGGGGAAAACTTTGAAAGTATAATAAAACAAAATACTAAAGCTTTGGCAACTTCAAAACATTATACACTGGCACAAAACCATTCTTAATATCTTCATGCAAAAACAATGTGCTAAATGCCACAATAATTCAGTAAGATTTGTCATTCTTTCTTACTCTACCCATAAGATACACCTCAGCTTCTAGGAATAATTATGTTAAGATTGATGTTTATTAGAAGTTTCAAAATGTTTTTGTTTTATGCAGTTTCTAAAGTGCCCTGTTGCCTGAGCTCTCCTTGTATTGGATGACCTTGAAAGTGCCTGAGTCACGGGCAATTCTAGCTGCCATCTAAACAACCATCCTAAATCATATACATTGTCATGTTCCCATTATCTGGACTTTGTACTTTCCGACCATGGAAGGATTTTCACATAAATTATACAGGAAATGAAGCAAAATGTAATTACAGTGTCCAACAGTTCCAAGGAGATAGATAGCACAAGGCATGGAACACAGTTGAACTGTCAGCTTTCAATAAATGTCACCTGGTAGAAAGAATCTGAATGCAACATATATCACTAAGCCACCCACTTTGGAATGATATCATTATCTCATCACAGGAATAAAGAGTTATAAGGTTATGGCAATTTCAAACAATCAGCATTCAAGCAGATTTCTCAAAGGGACTTTCATTCTTTGCTTTTACACATCTCTATTTGGACTTCAACGTACAGTAGCAAATTCTATTATATTGTATTAAATTAAGTTATCCCAATGAAAACATTTCTAGTAAGGTTAACCCAGACATTTAATAATCCATTAGCACCCTCACTTTTTCAACGTAATTTTTCTCATAATAGCTTTTTATTCTCAAAAGGAAAAGACAGCTGTAGAGCTTTAGAGTATTCTCAACTCATGCTGTAGAGCTTTAGAGTATTCTCAACTCATGCTATTGAGCAAACAAAAGGACACTGCAATGATGAATAAAATCACATTCTTGCCCTTAACTGCAGTGGATGATAAGTCAGACCCACAGCCTTTGCATTAGATGTTCGTAGACTACTTTCTAGAGGGGAGCACAAAACACCATCACATTTTCTAGGGGATATTCTTTCTTAACCTATTTTAACAGGGTAAAGATCTTGGGTTTTTGCTTGTTTGGTTTTGGTGGGATTTTGTTTGCACTCTCCTCCACACAAAAGAATTATAAAAACAGTGCAAAGAAAGCAAAATATAGTTTAAAACACTAAGGAAATAATTACAAAATTGTAATATCTCTGCATTTCAAATAATCCTTTCATCCAAGGGCTTCATGATGCAAATACCTAAACCTTACTCTGCTACTGAATTGTTATCAACCAGGTTATTTAGATGGAGTTTTGAGCCCCAAAAGTCAGAAAAAAACTCATAAAAAAAAGAAAAAAATTATACAAGTAGCATATAGACTTTCTCAGATACTGTGGTAATGATTTCTTCCTGCCAGCATGCACGAAACACATGCTGTTTTTCTCAAGTGTCTCTATTATGTTCATTGGTCTCATGGTATTTTTATATGCTTAGTAGGTGGAATGTTTTGAGAAATAGACAGTATGGGCTTAGCTAAATTAACTTGTCTAAGATTTGCTATGTGTTGTGAAGATGCATCTGGGCAGACCCTAAGGCTCAGCTCATGCAAAGCAGTTTAAGCCTTGGTAAAAGGATTGTGCATCACAACCTACCATTAATATTTTTTCATTATTGTTGTACAGCAAAATTAGACTGATCAGCTTCATGTTTTGCTCCCCTTTCTTTTTTCCTGCTTATCGTGTGATTATACAGTTCTCCTGTACCCACAAAAAATAATTTTAACACTTTAAAAAACAAAAACAAACAAAAAACCCTGTTCTTTTCAAGGTTTTAAGATACCCAGTTCTCTTCATAATTTAAAAATATACCCAAGAAGAAAATTAGCCACATAAATTGTATCAATGGAATTAAAGCAAAATTTTTTCATGTTTAGTTAAATCAGTGCCACCTCTTATATACTTCTAAATCATCTTAGCTGTAACTAATACTGATTTAATTGGTAACTAAAATCAGGTAACTGGTTTAAATACCTAAAGAATTAAACTGAACCAACTCTACATTAAGATGTTATTTAATTCAGCCTCTGCAATTTGTACATACAGACCTTTACACTTACATTTTAATTTAAAGCACATGAAAGAGTCAGAGAACACACCCACTGAAAGTACTAGTCTATGATCTGATTAGCTCCTTCAGAATGTGCACCCAGCTCCAAGGGGATGCCATGACTACCAACAGGTAAGAAAGGATAACAAAAATAAAATCTGTAGGGAAAAAAATAATCAGTGAGAGTTCTTATAAAAAAAAAAAAAGTCTTACTTTTATCAGCAAAAGGATTTTCCTTTGAGGTTTCATTTCCATTATCACACAATGAATCTTCTGCCATCACAGACACAGATGTTCCCTTAAGTCTGCACAAATGCCAAAAGCTCTTTGTCTTAATATCCACTCTGGAAGGACTTCATTGTTAATGAGGACAGATTAGCAATTTATTAAGTAATGCTCCTGCATCTGCTGCTGGTCCTGAGCCTTTCCCTTCAATGTGGTACAAGTCAAGTGCTATAAGAAATGAGCCTGGAAGAAAACAAAGTACATAATGAGCTTCTTACAGGCAGTAGCACAGAGAAGAAACAGGGTGCAAACGATAAGCTGTATTTATTTGTAAACATAACTGTGTATATCAGAACTTGATGCATCTAGGCATGAAAAATAGGCCAAGGACCCCTTCATCTGCCTGTGACAGAAGGCTAAATACAACCATAATGCTGGAAATAAACTGGAATTTGCTAGTCTGATTGAACTGGCAATTAATTTCACAATTAGATGTAGTTTCCAGAGATGAAAACCATTCATCCACACTTCTCGTTACACATATAAGGATAATTCCCCACATAAGGAATGGCATTTCTAGGGGGAACATCTTGGTACCTCATTCTCTGCTGGAGGATTCTGGCAATCAGCACGTTTTTCTTGCGAAGAGAGCAGAAAGCTCCACCATGTGGTGAAGTTGCTTCCTTGTAAATTGCTTGTTACCAGAGACGATGGTTTCCCTTTGTAGAAGTGTTTTATCCCCTACTAATATTTAGATTAGCTCTTGGGAAAAAACAACAGATTGAACAGATTTTTTCAGCTAAACAAACAAACAAAAAAACAAACAGGTGGATAGTTTATTAAGACATATTCTGACATATTATTTCCGTTATCACAATTTTGCTTGGAATACTTAAAACATTTTCCTTGGCCATTTAACTAGAATACTATGACAACTACAGTCTCTGAACTAGTAATCGGTACAATGGACACTGTAGATGTACAGTCTATTCAAATAGCAATCATCCTGATTCATACAAACTTTACTGATATTATTCTTCCTGCTCCCCCCCCCCTTTTTTTTTTTCTTGTAGTACACCTGTGACAAGACATTTCTAGCTCATAAATTACTCCAGATCCAGTTGTGCACTCCAGATCTAGTTGCACAACAAGAGCAAGAGATGGCACTGGGAAGCTCAGGCACGACGAGGAATACTAAAATCACAGAAAATGTGAAAGTCCAGAAACAATTAAATCCCTACGTGAAATCCAAATCAGCATTTAAAACCAAAAAAATATATATATTCTTCAGATTCTTTAATAAGAAATGGTGAACAGTAAACTATGAATAAAAAGATAGCCAATGTAACATACACGATACATTTATTTCAGTTAATGTATTTTATTTATTATATATCCTTCTTGTTTCCTCACTGAGATATATGGGGTGAATCTCTTTCTCTTGTTTATTTTCCTTTACTTTTAATATTTTAAACATTTAGAATGTTTTTACTTCACCCTTTCTGCTGAACTCCTTAGTAAGCTTTTTAAGCACTACTTCAGTGAAGCATAAATATTCAATGCCCTATTAAAATGTTCAATATCTGTAGATGGCTATAGAGATAAGTAAGGCTGAGTGAGTAGACATTTAGGCTCTCATTTAAGCTCTGATTCAAAACCTTATTGAAGTTTTTTTGTTTGCTTGTTTGTTTTTAACAATTACTATTTTTATTATTTTTTTTTCCGGTGTGTTCTAAGACCTTTAAAATGCTCTAGCAGGACACCAAAAATTCCAGCCATAAAGACCTTGAGAATATTACCACCATTTACTAATTTCCCAGTTTGGAGCAGCAGAAAAGGCAGCAATGCAACAAAGTTTTCCCATAAAATTTTCTCCAGTAATCCCATGCCCTCTTACCTAGAACAAACTCATCCATTTACAAAAGCAGCATCCTCTGTGGAAAGGTGATGCTCTCATAATAAACGAGATGTTTTTGAAACTAAAAGAGGTGTCTGATTCAGATGACTGGTACATATACCACATTTCCTAGAAATGTGTAACATGACTCTACTGTCTGTCTTTATTCTCGTAATGATGAATAATAATACTGTACATGCCAGAACATAAAACAAACCTGGTATGCAGACCACATTTTTTGTCACTTTCATATAAGATTTTGAGGAAGGTAAATGAAACTTACATTGGGAACAACACTCTGACATATTGACTGCCAGAGCATTTTTCTGAAAACTGCTTTTTCAGGTTAATTCATTGTTTACATACACTGGAAAAGATTCTTGAAAAGGGGTCGATGCATCCAATATCAAGTGTTCTTTTCCTCTTGCACACCTGAAGTAGACAAATTCTATAAAATATAAATTTGTAAGTACCAGGCCCAGACATTTAAGCTGTTCTGTTTAAGAACAAGAAACTAATCAGATTTTGTTTTAATCTGATTTGGAATTTGTAACATGACCTAATATGAAGAAACCAGATCAATGAGATTAGGAACCTACACTTCTCAAAGGAAATAAGCCAATAGAATAATCCACAGACATACACAGAGACAAAACAACTGGAATCTGAGATGAATGTAGCAAAACAAGATTCCATCATCTGAGATGCAATCATTTCCTGGAACATTTAATATTAATTTGATTTGCTACATATCAATTAGGCACCAAGAACACCTGAAAAAGTTCAATTCACTGGATCACAAATCCCTGCTTCAAAAGATGAAGATTCTTATGCACTGGCAATATATTCTCACCCTGGCCAGTGCAGGAGCAAACAGTTGTTTCAGGAATGGAAAAAAAAAAAAAAAAGGCATAAGAGCAATGCCTAAAGTCTTTGTCCCCTGGATTAGGGATAGCATCTGCAAGATACAATTTTATGAAAGTGGGATATATAGCAAGGCATCATTTACCAGGCACCAACAGGAAGAACTAAAGCTCAGTTATTTAGGATGTCATCACTCCTACCATATATCCGAAGCAATCCAAAAGGAATTCCTTCATGAGACTGGTACAATAACAGCATTTTGTCATCTCTAAATGTGCCACAAAGTTCAGATCTCAGAATATCTAAAAGCTCAATTATAGCAATGAGTTTCACTGATCATGAACCATCAATGTTTCAGCAAATATGATGATGAATTATTAATTAGGACAATCTTAAGAGATTGTTAGGAATAGAAGTTACAGAGAAATCATGGGGATGCTTAAGGATTTTCTCTTTGTAATAAACATCTGTCCAAACCCAGATAAACATGTCAATATTGATTACATTCTTGATAACTACACTTTGATTCAGCTCTCAAATCTTAACCCACATCTCAGACCCTGTTGACAACTGCTTAATCAATTTAGGTCTTTTTTAAAAGACAAAAACAAAATGTGGATGGCTTGGCTGTTTAATTCTTTTCATTGTGAGATTGTCTGTTGGGGGTAATTATCAGTGAGCATTTAAATAAGGAGTACAATAAACTGCAATTTCCTGATCAAACAGCAAGCAAATTTATTTTGTTTTAATCCTTCTCTATGTACATATTTCTCAAGAATATCCAACAGAGCTACCCTCAACAGTGGACCAAAGCAAGGAGGAACCTGAGGAGGAAGCAAAGACCACAGCCTCTCCAGCTGTTCAGTTCTCCAGTGAAGATCTGGTCACGAGATTCTTGTGGCAGCCTTTTGCCATGGCCTCCCCAAATGGTGCACAGATAACCTTGATTTCCAGTGCATAAATTTCCCCATGATAAACCAGGAATAACTTATAACAAGGACATGAGCCATCACCAAGAAGCCATTTCCACGCTGCCCCCTATACAAGGAAATAAGGTTACTAGGAGACATCCCTGAGGGCTGAAATCCTCCTATCAATAATTGGATGGTTAAACATGGCCAACACAAGTCAGGAGGGGAGAATGGTAGTAGGGCAGCTTGCTAGAGAGCTTGAGCAAGTTCCACTAAGGAATTCAATTAAAAATGATACAATATACAATAGTTCTTAGAGGCGAATTCATGAACTGAATGGCCTGTACCTTCATGATTGATCCTGTCAGTCAGCACAAATCTGTTTCCAAAGGAAACTTGCTTGGTCTCTGTCTTCCTATGAGCCGAATCCACAAAACCCTCAGGGAAATGAATGCTATTTCTACTGAAGTGAGCATCCTTTGTTTTGCTGGTTTGCAGAGCAAAGTGCCAAGAGGGGAGGACAGTAAGGCAGTTATGAAAAGAAAGGAAATGCCGTCCTCAAGACAAATTCAACTGGTTGAGTTGGCAGGATAAGAACAGTAAGGGTATAATCAGAGAGAGTGGGAAAATAGAAGGCATCTAGTTGACGGAAGGATAAAACAGACATGGCCTGTTCAGCCTTTCAGCCTGTCTGTAGTGCTGTCAAACAGCTAATCCTTCCAAAACTCCTTAGGGAAGTCAGCAGCGACTCTGACAACTGCTGTGCCAGAACCCAATAGATGTAATTTCTTATGAAGCTAAAGCTTCATTGTGACAGGGGGCCTTCAGCTCTGCAGCCAGCACCCCAAACTCTGCATTCACCCTCCTGTCAGCCTGTGGCAGCTTGGGAGGCAGAGTCAGGCCCTCTGAAAAGGGGGGGACATTTAAAATAAAGGAGAAATTGTCTACCACTACCTACAGATGCTACTCACTGACATATGCCATAGGACTCTATTCACTCTGACCCAGTAAAAATTCACAGAGCTGTGGAAGTAAAGCTTCAGTGGATGTTACCAGCAAGGCTACATGCTGCTTACTGCACGAGTCCCTGCCGGCTCTGCCTCAGCAGACTTGCACAGACTCCCCGCGAGATGGCTGCAGAGACTGCAGCATCATAACCGAAGCTGTGGAGTCTCAATCCAAGGGCAAGATACTCAGAGTATTTCAAGTGCACATGGGCGCTACAGAAAGCTACACCTTTCAAAAATGCAAATACCCACGATATTTTTCAAAACTTCATGAAAAAAGATGTAAGATTTAAGTGAAACATTTCTCATTTTTTGAGGTGTTTTCCTGATCCCTGTGTTCATATAGTTCTTCACAGCTTTTGGTTATTATATGCTGCATAAGTGCATGTTCCAAATCATCAGCACTGCTTTTCTCTCTCTCTTTTTTTTTTTTTAATTTTGAAATAATTTATTATTATTAATTTTTCCTTAAAGACCTTTTGAAAACATTGCATTTCTGTCTTCTGCAAATAGACCTTTTCTGTTGCGTTACACTGATTGTCAAACATGCTTTCTTACCCACGTTTGGCTGTCATTCAGCTGTTCCTATTACTGTTCACTACATGCTGTCAGTATACCTCCTGTCCCTTCCCAGCTTAGATTTTTTGATAATTAGCCATTCCACACCCTTGCTTGTCACTGGCTGTGGGTCTTAAGCTCTGATTCAGCCAAGCAACACAAGCAAAAATCCAGACATAAGCTTGGGTATGAAAAGCTTGGCCAGTCACCTAGCCCTGGAAACTTTGCCCTGACAAAAGAACATCAACACAACCTAAACAGAAATCTAAGCCAGGGATATGTACTCAATCTGTCTTAATGTGAACAGCTGCAATCCAAATTCTGCCTCTTTCTACCTGCAACAGTTTTAGCACAGGCACTGCAACAGCTTTAAATAATGGAGATCTACATGCCCTTACACAGCTCTAACTTTCTGAGGTCTGAAGGACACAACATTGATTTCTAGCCTATGAACATCATATGAAACAGATATTAAATATCCTCATAGTCCATGATCCCTTTTTAGTCCATAACTAATTGCAGCCTTAGTTTGGAAAGTCCCACAAAGAAAGCCTACAGAAGACTACTCCCAGATGAATTTCTATCCTGTCCCTGGTTGAAATCTAGGTCTTATAAGTTTTCTTTGCTGATCAGAATTCTTGTACTTACTCAAATCTATATCATACCCCTGTAGTGGAGCAACCTTTTGTCTAAACATTGAAGCAAAGCCTGTCTACTTGAACTCTCAGACTTCAGGCCTGATTACTTATGGATTCACATGCCCTTCTTAGGCACCCATTTTTCAGATCGGTTCTTTGAAGCTTAGTCAAATTGCTGATGCCAGCTTCAGCAACAACCTCATTGTGGAGCCAGCTACTCTTGCTGACCTTGGTTTCCATCTAGGTCTAACAAGCAACCCTCATTTTCGCCCTTTAAATGTGCCCAAACATCAACCAAAAACTCTACACTTACAAAAATACTTAAGCGTTTGGTTTTAAATCCCTCTTCCTGCCCCAGCAACAAACAAAATTATTCAGCATCAGACCTCCATGGACCTAGTTCATCATGAAAAAAAACAACTTCTCAACAAAAATCAAACTTCATGGCCTCATCTAAACCCAGGCCCTTAATTTTCATGATTACAGGGTATGTAAAGTAATGTGAGTCACACAGATATCCATTTGGATAAGACCATAAGACTTTGTTCTCCAAACCCTGAATGTGCACATATAACCTTCTGAAATCAATTTATATAGTCATTACTAGCTGTTGTTTCATGCTTGAGGATTTGAGGCTTGGCTCTTATCAAAGAGCTGATTAATTTCAACATTGCAGAAACCTCATTTAATTAGGGGGACTTTTCTGGAGTTTATTTTATTTTATTTTTAAACTGAAAACAACCATAAGAGTACATTAAAATTACGTAATTTTGAATCTCTGAAGCTTTTCATGAGAATTTGCATTTAGAAATATCTTGCATGTTCTTCAAAAATACTTTCAGTCATTATATCACTGAAACTAGATGCAATTAATTTACAACTTCTAAAAAGAGTGAGAATTATATATCACAAAACAAAGTTCATAATATGCCAGGTCCTAGACCTGTGCATAAGTACAGAGATAAATACTGAACCAGTCAAAACTATGTATTTTAGACACCTCATTATCAAAAGCAGAAAGGACAGTTAGGCACTTTGTTCCTTTTATCATGGAAAGCTGTTCCATTAATGTAATTTCTCACTAAGAAAAAATATTGTATTAATATTTGTTTTATAATTAAATCAAATTATGATTATTTGAAAAGTAACAATTTGAAATTAATGGAAAATAAATTAATTTCTTTAATTTCCATTAATTTATTTTCCATGTTCCCTTCTTATTTAATACAATATGTGATAAGGAATCTGTGAAAATGGCAAGGGGCATAATTTTATAGCTACACTTCACAGTTGTAAGAAAAGGATAAGTAGTACAAAATGTTTGGGAAAATGTGAAATCTTCAAGAAACAACATGAAAACATGAAACCCTTTCATGCACAAAGCACAAATCATAGTCTTTGAGGTGAAACAAAGCATGCTGCAATATTCTAAAGGTTTTATAGAGAAGTGATAAATTTCATCCAGACTTGGGAACAAAGGAAGTTGCAAAAGAAAGTTTCTTCAATGAACACACAAAGTTCAAGAACTTGTATCCTCAAGATGTATTATGAAAATAGAGTTACTTCCCCTATTCAAATTACTATTTTCTACCTTTCACAGAAATCCTGTACTGGCTCAGCCACATTGGAGATGTTAAAAAAAAAAAAAAAGAAAAAAAAAATCCTAGCAAGAAACACTTTTATAATATATACCAAATAATACACAATATAACTGTCAATCAGATATGAACCTTAATTTTTTTTTGAATATGTCACATTCTGAAGTAGTATTAAAATTCATGCATCATCCTTTGGAAAAAAATAGTATTAAATAATTATTAAACTGCATTCGGAATATGACCATTGCCTTTATATCCATTTGTTTAAAGTCAAAATCTTTTCTGAATGTGTTTCATTTTTCTGTAAATGGCAAACAGATGAATATAAATGGTATTTATCAAGTTCTGGAAGTAAATGGAAAAATAAAACTACTACGAAATTATTTGTGTTCAGACTGTATGAAAAGGCCATATCAGATATAATGGCTAGACTAATCAAGTACTGTAGGCTTCTTAATTTTGCAACAAAACAAGTGACACCAAGTATACTTTAAATGGTCTTACAGCATCTAATATTGATGATTTTCTTGTTCCCACCTACTCCTCTCCAGAACATGTTTGCTTTTTTACTCTGCTGGTTTTCTTTACTGCTAATGCCCTTCCATATGTTCCAATGATTCTGCGTGTTTAAACAACCTCCACGGAGAGTTGACTTATTCACACGTTTCAGGAGGCATAGAAAAGCTGAAGAGCATTACAGATAGCCATCAGCAACTTCCCTTACAGAAAGGTTACTTAATGCCCAAGAGAGACAAATTTATTTCTCCTTCCATACCCCTGAGGTTAAAGACAAAATATTGAGGTATCTTGAGAAAAGCCTAGTTGCTTAAAGGTGAACAAAATGGTGAACAAAAGAGACACTTCAACTTCAAATAAACCTTATCTAGTTGGGGAAATATAAACACGGACAGTAATTTCTTCCTGGGACAGAGGCCTAAATAATCTTCCAGACAAAGCAGTCTTAAGAATCCCTTCCCTAGGAAATTCTAGCAGGGTAACTGTGTTCTGAGCGTGAGGAGGGTGAGGAGGATTATGGTTTGAGTGTGAGGATAATTGCTTTACACCAATTATCTCCTATTAATGTTTTTTAACTAAGAAGCCATGATCTAGCTCTTCCCATACATGGACAGAGGTGTGCTGGAAGTGGCTAACATTCTTGTATGATTAAAGAAAGATCTATACATGAAATACTGTCCATCCCTTATTTGGCTAATTAAGAAAGAAACAAGTATTAGCAGCTTTGAGAAAATCCACAAGAAATTTAAGCATCTGGTATTTTCTACTCATCTCTTAACTTGGGCTTTCTTGGCATATGAGCTGTCTTTTGGCTGATTTCCACCACAAGCAGGGAGCTTGCATTACAGAAGTCAAGAAGAGTCCTCACTTTCCCACCATCCATCTTCACTCCTCTACAAAAAGGAAGTGATAAGGCCAACGTAATCTCTTTGGCACCCCAGGCATAGGGGGAGATATCACAAACATCAAAAAATTTTAGTGTCATAGATGCAGTTGCAGTATATTTGACATACTTTCCCTACACATCAAATGACTTGGGTATTCTTGATGTCTGTTTTGGTGACTTTTTTTCTTGCCATCCCCTTTGCTACAAAATTCTGTCTTCCTTTGCTGCTGCTGAGTTTGGGGGGGGGGGGGGGGGGGGGGAAGAGGGAGACAAAAGAAAAGGATTGCCAACAAATCAGCCAAAGAAGAAAAAACTTGCAACTCTCCTCCTCCTCAAATGCTTTCATGTATCTACATTCTGCAAAATTTTGGTGTTCCCATGAATACTAAGGATTGCAAATATTACTGAAAAAGGAAAAAAAATCATATTACTAGACTTCAAAATGAAGATTTCATGGTGCATGAAAAACAATCAGTCTTCTCCACTGAGTTTGACTTCATTTATCACGAACACAAGTTTACAATAGCTGATGTCCAAAATAATTAAAAACCTATTTCTTGCACATGATGAATACAGGTCTTGAACACATTCCCTCTAAACAATTCCAGCTTTGGTTAAAGCAAGGCTACAGTAAAATGTAGTTTGGGGTCTTGTATATAACACCAGAAAAGAAATCACAGCAATATAAATTACATTTTGATCTCCAACACAGACGGTTTAATAGGCCAGATTCAGCAAAGCATTTAAGCAAATGCTTAAATCCCATTGATTTAAGTGGGATTTAAGTACATATTAAGTACTTAGTTGAATTGGGGCCATACTGTGAAGGGACTTGTAGAACAAGAAAAACACAGTAGGCTTTGGGGATCTTTATTTACAGCTCAGACGTTAAACTTAGCAAATTTGGCTTAGGAACCTGTATAATGCAAAAGGAGCCAAGGACAGACTGCAAGAACATTTGGCTGCCCCGGGTCACTTCAGGATAATACAACATACCAATATGGGATGGATTTAGTTTCTAAAATACTTTTATCTCATAATTTACCACATTTAATTCACAATTGAGGTGTGCCACCTTAATGCGTCATTCAGCACTTTACTGTATAGAGAGACTTCAGATGCTGCCAAATTTCTAGTGCTCTCATTTATTCATCTCCTGTTCTTCCCTCCCACTTTTAACCCCAACCTTCTGGTTACAGGGTGAGGAGGAGGCAAATGACATTTGCTGTTTGTCAGTCAACTCTCACTGCATAACTAAGGAGGAAAAAAAAAAAGGGGAAGAGAAAAGCTAACAACATCAAGTACATCATCCTGGAATATGGTTCTCCAAGAGGGGATCAAACCAGACATTTCATCTCAGTTAAAGGAGTTCTGTTAAAATTATGTAATTTCTCTTGTAGGTGTCTTGGAGTGAAACCAAAACTATGTTTAGTCTACATATAATTTCCTAAACATTGTAGCTGACAAAAAGAATTACATTGCCCATAGGATGACTTTTAATGATTTCCTTATCTTTCCTTCTTGACTCTAGATACAAGTTTTCTAACTCTACTAACATTACTCCAGATGGTTGAACTATTTCTATTTATCTTGCAAAGTAGAAGTTGGATTTTGGGGACATTAATAATTCTTGTTGTCAACTTTTCTTTTTGGGAATAAGCCTATTTCCGGGGAAGTCTGGGAAGCTTGGTTCCCTAGCTCTAAGAATAGATGAACAGGAAACAGAACATTATATCATGTCCAAGCACTACCATTTGTAGAGAAATTAAGACTCAGAGTTTTATGAAATCTCCTAATCATGTTTTAAAACAGATTAGTTTTGAGGTCAGTTTCCATTTAGCAGAATGCTCTCATGCTTATGAGAACCCTTTCTTAGTATTAGGTATTTAACTGAGGTGAAGGGAGGGTTCCTAAAGTCATCCTAGACTTGCATATAAAATTTGCATATTTGTGCTAAACAATTTTGTGATAGTGCTGGAAGCTAATCTCACCTTTTCTGATTCCTACCAGGTGTCACAGTTTCAGAAGACCACGTTTCATTCCAGGCAAGAGGCATGAATCCGTTTTGAGTACTGTCACTGCGAAGAAAGTATATACAGTTACTCATCCAGGTCACAAAAAAATCTCTCTAAAACAGTGCAAGACCAATTTAATTACATGGTAAACAGACTTATGTCATTGCATGCACTGCTATTTCTGGTACTTAAAACCTGCTGAGGAAGTTGCATTAACCAGCAAAATTACTGACCCCTTTGTGGGTGCAAACTTAAATGAGTAAACACAACCCTGAGCATACAAAGGATCAGCCCTAGTTCTCACCCGTGCGTATGCAAAAAATGCTCTAATTTCATTATACATTAGATTTGCTAGTGCTGTGTTAATTCCAGCCTGAAATTTAGGACACAACAGTCTCTGAGCTGAGGCCAATGGGCTTCTAGTGATTAGCAGAAATTAGGAAAATACCGAGCCTATTAAAATGAGCATACTCAGAAATGTAATTGGACAGTGAATGAAATAATTTAACATTGATCAAAACAGATAAACACCACAATGTTTTATGCTCTGAAAAAAAATGTATTACCTGACAGTTCATACAGCCTATCAGAAAACAAAGGAAGAATAAACTTTAGCGACAGCATTCATAATAGTATGACTACTAAAAGAATGATCACTATAAACACTTATCCCAAAGCAAATTTTTGCACTACTCAACAGGTATTTACAATGGAAAGAGGCTTACTTTTTCTTCATTCTCAATCGTGACGGAACACTCTGGTCTCATTCACCTCCTCAGCTAAACCAAGTCTTTTCTTCTGCATACCATAATACGGCTACAGAAATCGCTGTGGGAAAAAAGATTTAAGTGAATAACTAAATAAGAATGATTTTTCCTCCCTCAATAAAAGCGGTAGAATTTTCCAATACTTTCTTTTCAGTTCACAAATTGTCTAATTTCCCAAACAGCAGACAGCAAAGAGCTTATATGTGGCACAGTAATACAAAATTTTAATGCTGGACAGGAAAAAATAAAGAACTTTCAGTAAAATTTCTGTTCAGTATTTTACTACATCGAGCTGATGTCAATTTTCATCAGAATTTATGTTGCATGTATTCTATCTTAAAATAAAAGCTGAAGAGGAACTGTTCTCATTCAGAAAACAAATCCATGTGCCCTTTCAATTACTTGTGAAGTAGGAAATTCAAGAGTCACAGTGAGTCTGAAAATCTCACATATGTCAAGTTAAAGTGCTTTAAAAAGACTTCTATGAATTTATTTTTTCTTCAAAAGAATATGATAAGAATCAGACAAGGAAAATAATATAATATTATTTATGGTAAGCAGCTAAACCATGTGACTGACACCTGCATTCCCCCCAAAATATGTGAACAACAAAATTAACTACAACTGAAATTATTGAAAAAAAAAAAAAAAAAAACCATGCCCAGGCTTGGGAAAAATTCTGCAGTGAATTGTGACCCTGCTGTTACTCTTCCTGCTTTATATGCATAACAGCAGTAAGCCAGGCTGACCTTCATGTAATCAGTTAAAGTTACATCAATAGGACAATTCTCAAGGGGAAAAAAAGGTGGTAAGGAGTAAAGGGGAGAGTCAGCCTAGATTTTTCTAAGGGGGAAAGAAAAAGTTTGTGGGCTAGGGCTGGTATCCCTTATAGAAAAGCAAAAGCAAAGCACAGTTGTCTCACCCCAGCTGTTTTTTTTGTGTGTTTGTTTGTTTTTTTCCCCTTCCTCTTTTTTCTTTTATTAACATGAAAGTGCTTAATGTTTTAGGATGACAGTGTTTCTGCTTGAGAGAGGGAAAAGTCTAGGATTATAAATAATCTATAAAAAGCGGGACAACTGCACTTGGTTGGTGTCCTTCTACAAGGCTCAGAAAACACAGCCCCCAAGGTCTACCATCATGTTCTATCCTTTGCCTCATTACTGAGTGCCACGAATGAAGGACTAAAATGGCATTTATAGGATATGTCTTTTTTCAGACGGCAGGAATCCTGAATTACTTAAGTTAACGTTACACAGGCCTGCTTGAGTCTTGGAAGCTGTCCAGCAGTTGCAATGGAGCGATCAGTAGAGATTAATTTCATCTACTGCTTCGGTACAGTTTAGAGTAAAATAGCACATTTTGACCTCAAGCTGGTAAGAGAAGGCTGTTTCTGGTACCAGAGTGATTTTAACACAGTGAAGAATTTCATTGCAGGTTTCTGTGAAGACATACTGCTTTTTTCATTTCCTTGGCTTTGTGACCATCAGCTTAAAAAGTGTATTCATACCTCCTACAGTAACACATGTCGGGGAATGCACAAGGCAGGGATCACCACTATAGGCTCCCAGCAAACTACTTTCAATGGTGCTGCATGAGCGAACAGCACTATGCCTGGCAGGCAAGGATGCACAGTTTCACCATCCTGACACTTTGCTAAACTAATACATCTAACGGGACTCAACCAGTGACAAGATTCTGAAGGAATGTGGTGAAAACCCAGCTTGGCCTGGGGAATTTATTGAGGAATCATCACAGATGAGGAGGGAATTTACTGAAGGATCATCCAAATGAGGCTGGAAGGCTCTAAACAATGTAATTACTCTTGTTAACATCTAGGGGATAAATTATCCCTCAGATGGAAACTAAGCCCATAAGAGGGGAAAGTTATTTGGTAAACTCACCACAATAAACCACAAGGAGTCATCTCAAAAGCAAAGCTATTTGCGGGCCAACAAAGGGATACAATTTTAAAATTCCCAGCTATAAATGTTCATAATCTTACAAAGAAGCACTTCTAGATCTCCTTAAACATGTCCAAAAGCACAGATCTTCCAGGTATTCCTTCTGTTTCTGTAACACTGGCACTGGGTGATTCTCTATTATTTCCCACTGAAATCTTTGCCCTGTCCTCCATAGCACACAACCCCAGTAAAGCTACTGAGGAATAATGACACAGACAAGTTTTCCCTGTAGGTGTTTTTTTTTTTTTTTTTTTTTTCTTCAGGTTATCCTCTACAGTTTCAATGTACTTATGTAGATTTAAATGGCGATTACTTATTTGCATATCGTACAAATTTTATAGTGGAGCTATGACTCTATTATACAGACTTTTCTGCTCTATCTCAAATCAAGCTGCAAGTAGATAACAGAGCATGGCCTGCTAACAGTTACTTAGGAATACAAAGCAACTAAAATAAACAAGTATCCCTATTATCAAAACCGAAATAATCTCCATTATTACTATTATTATTTATTTATTTATTTTTAACTCACCTCTCTCTTTTCCCTTAATAAAGGAGCAAAAGGTCAGGGCTTCAAGCACATAAACAAGAATCAAGAAAAAGAGAATAAGATCAAATATCTTGGTTTTACCAGCAACTCTTACTCTCAAAGACCAGCAAGTCTGTGGAAAAGTCAATATACAGAACTTGCGGGCACCATTATATCATTTCCTGCTGCTTTTCCAAGAATCCCATGGTCATTTAATGTGGCACTTGCAGGAAACACATAAAAAGGAGCACTGAAAAAAGGAAAATAAAACAGTGCTGTGACTTGAAATGTAAATACACATCATCTAAAGATTATTCCTGAGAATGGTATGAAAAATAATCACCTTTACAAATTCCGAAAGTTTAGAAAGGGTAAGTCTAGCAGGTAGTGTAGTACTTCTCTGGAAGACCATCACTGGCATTCAGATTACAGGAGGAAGAATCTGGATAAATTAGGCCATACTAATGAAGAAATGACAGAGTTAATACATAACTGGTATCTGAAGAAATATCCAGTTCTTGGAAAGGCATCACAAGGACTGAGTAGAATACACAACCACAAATAAATAATGACTTAGTTTCCAGAAAACTGAGAAGACAACTATTTGGTCAGCTGCAGGGGGCATAAAACATGTTTTTCCTTTGTGCCAGTATGCGATAGGGTAATGGTATTGAGGTCTAACAATTTCAAAGGTGTACTTTCATTGGGGAGTTAATAAACCAATTCAATACCCCAACACAGCACACCCCCTGCACCAGTCACGAGGGTCTAGAATCTGTTCATGTTGGCTTGGCATACACTGCAGAAATCCCCTGTCTACAAGCAATGAAGAAGGGCCAATATTTGCTGCACTAGAGCAGCAGCAGAAAGCTGTGTGGAAAAAACAAGCTCAGGCTGTTTTCATCAGGGTTTTATTTAACCCTGTGCTAGCACAACTTAAGCTGTGTTATTGTCAGCTACCACTGTGAGATTTATTAGAACGGAGTGTACACGTAGCCTGAAAACAGTGTCTTCTGTTTGGAAGAGGATTCCTAAGAGTATGCCCAAATATGCTCAGAGTATAAAAACAGGCTTTGGACAATAGGTTTTATTAGAATCAAACTGTAGGAACTTATTTTTAGTTCATATCAAGCACTCATTAGAGGGGTAGAGTTCTCCCATTAAATATTCAATTAGTAACAATGATCTCTCAGTCATGTTGCTGCTGCCTGAGACACTGGTTACTCATAAAATACCGAGTTGTGAATAATGACTGAAAGTACTGTCACCAAGCGTGAAATAATGAAACAATGGAAAAGAATGGGGAATAATAAGAGAAAGACTTGTAAAAGTTATTAACCTACAGAAAGAAGTCTGCACATGATGAAGGATAAAGCAGCAGCAGTTGGAGAACTGCCTACGTGAGAAGACCTCAGCATTCTGCTCTGTATGCCAGCTTTCTCATGGGACTTTGAAAAACACTGATTTTTCTTTGTATATACTTAGAATAATGTGAACCACAATACATGTTTCTGATTTTCAGAGGAAGGTGAAAAAATTTATAATGGCAATTATAAGAAAAACGTTTATGCTATTAAAATATCTGCATAACTAGTGACTTATAGCTTCCGATATTCCCCTATCCCCCTGCAAATACATCCTAAAATCTCATTAGCATCTGACAGCCACTGCCAGTGCTGTCTACACAATGCATGTACCCAAGCACTCCACACCTGAGCTTAGCTCCTTTCTAAGAACCTTATTCTGCAGCACCTTACATGTTCCCACTACAATCAAAACATTCCACAATTCTGCTTTAAATCTTATACGACTCATGACAAACTATAGCAAATCTCAAACTAAATAACTATTTTTTTTTTTTAAATATATATATTTGATGACTTCCAACTGATGACTAGAGACATGTACAGTAAACAGAATTGGCCAGCTATTTTCACTTTGTCTCTGCATATGCCCCAACTCATATTTTCTCCTGAAGGTAAGAGACTCAAGATGGCAATAGAGAGCTGGAAAAAGCGTGTTCTGGGAGAGTACTATAAATATCTCTTTTGTTGCTTAATGTGTTGATAAACCTCTTGCTAGAGAGGCCTCTGGTATTAATCTGCCCATCAGTGTCTCAGTAATTCTCATCTAAAATTATCAACAAATAATTTTGTTAGTACAAAATGTTTATTTGCAGTTACACAACTCCCAATTTGCAGAATATTAGCTGCTTAAAACATAAGCAAACAGCCACAGACTATAAAAGCCAGTGCTGAGAAGATTAATTCATAACCTTATTTTGAAGTAAATTTAATGTTACAAGATCTAGTAATGTTCCCAAAGTCTGTTAAATGTTAGTGCCTTAAAGGCAAACATTTTATTTGAATTGTTTTTAAATGGTACTCAAAAAATATGATCAAGATTTTAGAAAAACAAATATACTTATTTTTTCTTAACTCAGAAAGAGGATTCTCTGTCCAGTCACACAGAATCACACGACAATATTAACTGTATGCAGAAATGCTGAATATGCCCTGAGTACTGCTGTGAAGCACTGCTGTGTGCTGCTTGACAGCTGCTGCCTTCCATCCCAGAGGTGGCAGCCTATAAATGATGAATGAACTTATTCATACAGTCTGTAGCTATCTGAGTGTAAGAGAGATCTAATATGCATTACGTACATCTGTCTAGATATATGTACACAAGCTGAGTTTGGTTTAGTAACATTGGAAAGAGTCCCAAAAGTAAGGAAATTTTAGAGTTATCACTTCTCAGTATTTTCCAAGATAAACGTCCAAAGAAGCAATATTTTCTACAGGATTATTCTTAATTAGTATTTATCATTTGAAGATCTTGTAATAGTATGCTTCCTCCAGCCTAAATGACTCTCTACTGGCTAAAGAACTTGCTATGCTAAGGGCTGGACCAGAGCTGATAAGGGTTTATCCCTTTACTTCAGTGGACTTCAGTTCAAACCTATGGCTGCTGCCAGGGGAGAAAAATGTTTTTTATAAGTAGGAAAGACAAATTTATGCCTAAGCTCCTGTTTCTGAACAGAGCAAGAGTTGAAAATTTTAAAGCTGATTACAAATTAAAATATCTCTGTCCCCAGATGCTTGCCTATCTTCAATCAATTGGCTGCCCCTGTCTGCTGATCTGGAGCTGCAGGGACAGGTCTGCTGAGAACTGACACCTATTTCAGGATCAGAAGAGGGCACTAGGGTTTAAGGTACATTCAGAATAAATCCAAGACAAAGAGGGAAAAAAAAACAGTGAAGCGTGTTAGAAATAGTCCCTTGTTATACTTGTTTTGTGAGAGAACCAGCAGAATAAAGGGAGAAAACATAGGCAGGGCTGGAGGCCCAAGGGACCAGGTGCTGTGGCAGCTCAAGCACAGCTCAAGGGACATGTTTGGTCACCAACATTTACACAAGTGCCTTCAGCTTGCAATAGCCTCACCCCACGTGCTGAAGCCCTCCCCTCCATCCCACCCATCACAGGTAAGCCTCACCATGTTATTTCTTTGTTGGGCTCAGTTTGTGACTGCACTGGCAGCAAACAGGCACATGACCAGAATGACAGCAACTCACAGAGATTGCTGAGCTGCCCAACCCACCAAGACGAGAAGCAGTCAGAAAGGTGAAGAGAAGGGTCCTTTGAGGGCTCAAGAGATGCAATGAACTTCACAGTGCACCTTAATAAGATAAAGAGCCACATCCACCCACAGTGTTTAATTCTCCTTCTAGCTAGGAAGCAGAGTAATTGCACTGTGTTTGTTTTTCTCTGTTAAATCCGATGTGGTATTTTGACACGACACATTCCATCACAGAGGGCTTGCCACATATTGTACACGTTCTGTGTTAAGGGGGTACATTCAGTGGTGATGGACAGGTGGGATCAGGAGAAACCCCTCTGTGCTGTGCAGTTTGTATCAGCAAGCTCAGCTGGTTCTTCTCCCTCTGATGTCAATGTTTAGGAAGAGTACCAGCCTATACGGTGCAATGCCTATAACAACTGACCCTATAGAAGCTAATTAATATGCAAATTGCCAATGTATTTGAGTCTAACGTGTCCTTTAGAACAGAAATAAAATATTCTAGGATCACTTGATAATGCTGTACCCTCTCCCTTGGACTAGAAAAATCTTATTCAGCATCTTTTAGAACATTTTCCAGAGCAGTTGCTACCTAGACCATCTCCTCTGGTCCAGTGAAAAGAAGCTAGTGTTAGTGTAAGACCTTAGAGAAGTATACACTGTTGGCATAAATGGCAACACACAAGGAATTCACATAAACTTGAGAGGAAGTGAACAAAAAGGCTAAATTACACCTTTGCAGTGAGGTAAAGCTACCATATGAGCTGTACAAAGGGACTTTACCAGGACACCTAAACAACGTATGTTACTCAATTAAGAAGCATCTGCATGTGCATCTACACGATGCCAACTACAAAGCCACATCAGACTGTACAGAATTCCTAAAACAAATTCTTATTAAGGAGGGGTATCTTGTTAGAATTTAACTCCTGTCTTCATGTTTTCTCCTTACAACTAACCCATGCCTCCCCTGAAATTTTCTGGACTACCAGAGATTGTCTCTTGTCTCCAAATTTTTATTTTGACTTTTGTCTTTGCTTTTCAAACTCAAGCAGTTGACAGAAGCAGCTAGAAACGCACATTTGTCAGAGAAACACAAACAATATTGTCTTTCATAGGGTCTACCACATGCATACAGCCAACTTGACATTTAACCCAAGGACCAAAATAAGAAACTGTATCTTGCCAGATTTTTCTTGTAGTGAGTAATTGCACCTCAAAATTAGCCAAGTCACAAGCATGTTCCGCTGAAATGGGTTATATTACTGGACAGCTATTCCCTTCATGCACAGTCACGACAACAGAGAAGAGTCTGATTTCATAGATTAAGTATATGATCTGCCACAAAAAAAGGTAGTATCACCCACCAAAAAAAAAAAAAAAAGAGACTACAGTTATGAGTCAGGATTATAATACCACTGTCTTGGAATGGCTCAGTATTTCAGCACAGACAGTACATATGCTATCAGAAATATCCAAAGGTTTTTCATTAGCTAAGAAAGCAAGAAAAGGAGGAGATGTTCTTGACTATAAACAATGACATACTGAGGTGCAGATCTTAAAATGTTGAAGTTTGGTTCCCAGATCCTCTGGTGCAGGCCTGGATAGGAGCAGAAGGATGCTTTACTCTCTCTCTCCCAAGGAGAACTGGAAGCTGAATATGAGCTTAAGTAATTAACTTATAGATAATGATAACAGTGGAAGTGCATATTTATCACAAAAGTTGAAATTTCAAGGGCAAACAGTCACAAAGATGAGAGTCAATAATGCTTTAATAAAGCTGGAAACTAAAGGGGCATAAGTATTAATATTATACTTTAAAAAGGGAGAAGACCAAAATCATATTAAAGCACATGTGGAAAAAGAAACACAACAAATGGAAAA